AAACGTACAAGAGAAGGAGCAATAGCTTTGTGGCATATATGATAGACGTGCGACTTACATTGTGCATGAAGAGCAAAGCACACGAGAAACAGTAGAGGTAGCAGCATGGCTGCTGCACGTGTGTGATTGCTGTGACTGTCCATCAAGATCAACAATCTAATGGATGCTTTGGTTGATATGTGTTGTGAATATGTGTTCTAATCAACTACCATATGCACTCGTCCTATATATAGAGAGATGGAGACCATGGTCGAGATGGTCGAAGAAATAGGAATATTGTTCATGCCGACCTGCCGTATCAAGGTTCCCAAAAAAAGATCTGGCCGTATCAATTGCAATTAATTTCTTGTTTCCTGTGGGATCTTCTCAATAAATGGAGAATATAAATATTGGCAAACAGTTAAATAGAAAGATATTGCATGCGAGAAGGGAAATCCAACACAATATGCGCTTCATTCAAGTACCTAAATCAACAGATTTGCTATGGTAGGGAAGGATGGAGTCGGTCAGAGGTACATATATACTCTCCTTATGGCCTACAACCAATTCATATGCATGCAGATTAGTATGCCCATGGCTTTATGTGCTCTCAAGACTTTGAGGACACTATGTGGATTCTCAGCCAACATGGATGGTGGTTGAGGTAGTTTGGAAGAGCTTGGGCCTCTTTCTTAGCTTAGCATGGCGTTTAGTGAGTCTGCAAAACTTACCTCATTCGCCACAAAGGTCAGGCTTAGTAAAATGGTATATCTTGCCAACCTTGGCTACAGGGCCGTTAAAGGGCCTGTGCGAGCTGTGCACTCGCACAGGGCCAGGGTCCCCAAAATCCTGGGGCCCCCGATCAGGGTCCATATACCTGTATGCGTAGTCTGAAAAAAAAAAATCAGTTTTGGGCACTACGTTGCCTCTTGTGTCACCTGAAGGCTGAAAAAACTCGATTTGACCATCCTGGGCCTGGTCCGCTCAAGGCCTCGACCCATATGCGCTTCCCATCCTCGCGTGGATCGATCCCAACGATCGTAGACGAAAGGACAGCCCCAGCGCAGTACGTGTATGTATTCTGCCGTTCTCTATTCCCTAATCTCTCTTCGCTTTCCATCTCGTTTCTCTGCGGCGGCGCGATCGATCTTTTTGGGACGACTGAATCGGCGGCTCGGTGGAGATCGCTTTGCAGCCAGGCGACGGGCAGAAGCGGAACTGCATGGGACTTGCGAGCGTCGAACGCCGCCGCGCCGGCGAACAGAAGGCCAACGGCCAACCGCAACCGGTGCCCTACGCTCCTCCTCTTTTCTTTAATTTTAATACAAACTGCAAAGTTGTACTAAGATTTTACTAAGAGGTTCTGACACAATTTTTTGTCTAGTTGTTGAAGTTCAGATGCATTGATACACTACTGTGACCATCATCAATAGTTGCTCGTCCTGTCGTCCAAGTCCAAAATCAAGGTTCTGTCTTATTCTAACTATCTATACAAGTTACAAGACTATAATATATGTGAGTTCATCAGTTCAAATGAAATGATATTATTTTTGTTTGGTTCATAAACAGAAAAAATCATGCATTCTAGTTCTAGAAGAAAGTATGATTCTGGTGCCTTAAAGTGTAAGAAGGAATAGAAATTAGAAGATGCTCAATCTCAAAGGGGTGCCCTTGATAAATTTGTTGTGGAAGAACCTCAAACTAATTCTGCAAATCAAAATCTAGATGCTAATATTGATGATGGTCATGATGATAATGTAGTAGAGGTAGAGTTATCGCTGCAGAAATTCATGAAGGTGATCATGGTCATGGTGATAATGTACATGCGGTTGAGGCTACCACTACAGAAATTGACGAAGGTAGTGATGGCAATATTGCTGATGAAGATCTTGACCCTAATCAGATGACATGAATAATTATGTTTCGCCTGATATATTTGATCCTAGAAATGGGGACAGACTTGATCCTAAAAAGATTGATATTTTGCTGCAAAAGGGTCCTAAAAGAGAATATATGGAGCATGGTTCTTATGACAAGTTCTCTAGAAGGTTTTCTTTATTATCATTTAATAGAATTCGCTCAAATGATATGTTGGTGAATATTAATTATGAAGACTTCATTCAAGGAACACAAGATAGATGAAACTTTCCAATAGAGCATGAGGTGAGCATATTGGTTTTAGTATTTTGCATTGATACTTGAGAATTTTCTAAACATTGTACGGAATAACATAAATTAAAATTATATAGTTAAGTAATTATGCTTAAATTATTGTATGTTTTTTGGGGCCTCATTTTACTTTTCGCACCGGGGCCCCGAATTCCTGGAGACGGCCCTGCTTGGCTATATACTGAACCCGTGGACTGGGCATAGATGGAGTATTTGAGAAGGATCAAAGGATAATCGATGAGGTGTTTGATGAGATATTTTGGGCGTCAGCTACCGAGATGGACAATTTCAACAACACCAGTGCCCGTCAATACCTTAAGGATAGTAAGAATGAAAGACTTGGCTTGCTGCACCCAACTCCTTGATGGCTTGTGTCAGAGCATCTCTAACCGACCCCTATAATTTAAAGGATAAAATTGCTGAGTATCCTTTAGCAGAGTATATATCCTCCTCTAAGAACTGGCATTTCTAACCGGTCTCCTAAGCTTAATAGAGTAAAACTTACATTTCGCTCATGCATTTCGTCGAACATTTGCTATGAGCATCCGCGGCGAGAAGCAATGATCGATGGCGACAATGCTGGCGACAACCATGGACACGAACAGTGCGCCGCCGATGGCATCATTGGGCCCTACAAAAAAATCAAACTAGAACAATCGCTTTGTGAAACCATCTGTGCATGGGCATGATGCGCTCACTGTTCTCCCATGGTCGCAGCGGCCTGCGCTCCTCCAAGTGGCCACCACCGTCCACTGCCCAGGGTGATGACTCACTCCCCCATACACGATCATCTCTAGAGGACAATATGGAACGCATGTTCGGGATGTTCAATGCCAACGTCGACGGCAGGATCTCGCGGGTTGAGCTGGCCGCACTGTTCAAGCGCAAAGCCCGACCGGCGGCGGCGGCAGCGGGGCGTCTTCTTACCCTCGTGCGATGGGGCAGCGAGGGTGGCCTCCTCGGGCCTGAGGCACTATTGAAGGTTGTCATGGTGTGGCGGCTCGCCGGCATGGATGTCTACGTGGGTGTTGCGGCGGCATGGGGGAAATCGCGGCGGTGGTGCTCGCTTGTTGCGGCGGCCGGATCTGGCCTAAAGCCACACCGGCGCGGACCGGTGACTGGTGGGCCATGGTCCGGCGCGGTGGTGCTCTACACCTACTCGAGCGGATGTCGGTGTCAAAACCGGCGGATCTCGGGTAGGAGGTCCCGAACTGTGCGTCTAGGCCGGATGGTAACAGGAGGCAAGGGACACGAAGTTTTACCCAGGTTTGGGCCCTCTCGATGGAGGTAAAACCCTGCGTCCTGCTTGATTAATATTGATGATATGGGTAGTACAAGAGTAGATCTACCACGAGATCAGAGAGGCTAAACCCTAGAAGCTAGCCTATGGTATGATTGTTGATGTGTATGCTGTCCTATGGACTAAAACCCCCCGGTTTATATAGACACCGGAGAGGGTTAGGGTTACATAGAGTCGGTTACAATGGTAGGAGATCTGAACATCCGTATCGCCAAGCTTGCCTTCCACGCCAAGGAAAGTCCCTTCCGGACACGGGACGGAGTCTTCAATCTTGTATCTTCATAGTCCAGGAGTCCGGCTGAAGATATAGTTCGGCTATCCGAACACCCCCTAATCCAGGACTCCCTTAGCTGCATGGTGGCTGCGGTAGGATGCAGGGCGGCACTGCTTAGATTTGGCCCATCGTGATCAAGTGGAGCTACGTGGTGGTTGGCCGTGCTGTTCTTCAAGCTCCAAAATTTTGATCTACTTCATGACGGCCTCCTCGATATGGACACCGACCGGTTCCAGTCTTCCTTTCGAAAATCTCAGCTATTCGTGCATGGCGCCAGTGGATATCTATCGGAATTGATCCGGTCGTACGCGCCCTCATCTTCGGCTAGAGAGGCTTCATGAGGGCGTGGCGCGAGGCGTCGCCGTCTTACCGGTGCCATGGGACATGTCTAATTAAGTATATATTTCCACGGCGTTGACAGAGGTGAAGAAATTCTTGGTGGCTGCGATCAGAGACTGGTAATGGCGAAGAGGATTTTTGGTTGAAGAATGGCAGCACAGGTCTTTCCTGTGTGTCGGGTGTTGAGTACTTGCATCAGCGGCCTTGGTAGGAGGGGGCGGCAACACTCGTGGAAACCATTTTTGTGGTGCTCTTGAGTACCGAGCCGTGATTTTCAGGATGAAAGCCCAAGGCCTGGCCTTCATTGGTTGTACCTGGCAATGGCTTTGTTGAAGGCATTGATTTGCGATCTCGGTCTTTCTTCGGCATGAAAACTGAAGATCCTTGGTCGGGCGACGACAACGCTTCTGCATTGTTTCCTTTTTGGAGGTGTCGCTTTTGGAGAGCCTATTTTGCGACCCTAGTGTTGTTTTTTGTGGTGGTTAGAGTGCTGCTGTTGCAAGTGTTTCGTCACTGCGACGGGGTCTTCGTTTCTATATTTCTCTTTTTATTTATTTTGTCTTTGGCTGTGTGCATTCTGGATGTCTTTCGATATCTTATTAATGCAGAGGCTGGGTGTAATTGATATCATTTTCATATTAATATATTACTCTTTTCAATAAAAAATGTATGTATTTATTAACAGCCTGTTGTAGAAAATGTAGTAAAAGGCTGTGTACAATAGACCCAAAGTGGTCAGAACCTGCGCAAGCAAGCGGGAGCTACATGCACCTGGCTGCCCTTACATGTATGTATTTATTGCCTGGTATAGTGAACACGGTAAGTGCTTATGTTTTTACTGCCTTCCTGTATGCATGTATGTTCTAGACCGTACCTCTCACCCTGTATATGTATGCATCTTCCAGACTGTACGTGCTAGCTAGTTTCGATCAGACTGATTCAGAGCCTCAGGTGCTGCAGCGCAGAGCTGCCGTCGAGGCCCTTGGCCCTGTTGTGCTGGATCAGCTCTGCCATCGTCGTGCTCCTGAAGCGCGCCTCGCCGTCAGCGACGATTGGCCTTAGCACTCTGGTGGACGTGGGCGCGTCCTGTCTTCGGAAGAAGCAGACCACGGAGACGCGAGACCCGGTGCTCTGGGCCACCACGCGGTGCTCCACGCTCTTGAACCTGTCGTTGGAGACGATCTGCAGGAAGTCACCGACATTCACCACCAGCGCACCTTCCACCGCCGGTACGTCCACCCACACCACAGACGACTTGTTGTTGTTGTTGTTGTTGTTGTTGTTGTTGTTGTTGTTGTTGTTGTTGTTGCCGCCATAGTAGTCTTCCTTGAGTAGCACCTGGAGGCCGCCGACGGCGTTCTGGAGAAGCACGGTGAGGAAGCAAGGGTCGGAGTGGCGTGTGGTACCCAGTGTCAGGTGCGGCTCCGGGCAGGACGGGTAGTAGTGGCCGGCGAGCCTCTCCAGGCATGCCGCGTCCTCCTCCAGGTGGCCACTGTGAAGGCCCAGCGCCTCCGACAGCAGCTCAAGCAGGGTGCGTCCCAGCTGCTGCATCAGCCTCCCGTACTCCAGCGCGATGGGCCGGCACGCGGGTGGGATCTCCTCCGGTGGCGGCAGCTCCGGCGTCGTTTCCATGTACAAGGTGTCGCACCACTGGGCCGCCGGTGACTGGAACAGGTCGAAGTTGCTCCAGTACCTCACGGGCCGACCAAGGTCCCGGCTGTAGTACGGTGCCTTGGCCTCCGCCGGCTCCTCGTGGAATCCCCGCACCGCCGCGAGTATCTCCGACATGACCGCCTTGGGCACGCCATGGTTCACTACCTGGAAGAAGCCCACCGTCTCTGCGGCCGCCTTCACGGCCGCAACCAGCTCAGCTCGCTTGGATGGTGTGGTAGTAGTACCACCCGTGGCAGCCGCGAGGTCGATGACCGGGATGGTGAAGTGGTGATCATGATCGGTGTGCTCTATGGGCAGTGGGTGGTGGAAGATGGAGGGGATGGTGGTGACACCCGCATCAACGAGGCCTTTGACGCCGGCCTTGGTGTCGTCGAAGGCCTTGAGCGCACGAAGGCGATCGCAGTCAGATGATTATTGCTGCTCACTCAAATAAACTCTGGGCTGGTGCAAATCCTGCGAGAAAAGCACGATCCACTATATAATAATTTTCTGCATTACCTATCTCTTTCCAACTGGTATGCAATGTTAGGAATAAGACACGGCGGTGGTGGTGACCAGTGTGTGCGTGCGTGTTGGTCGTGCCGGACACCGTGGCGAGTGTGCGTGTGTGCGTGCGTTGGGTGCGTGTCAAGTCTGTGCTTATGTTTGGGTCGTAGTCAGTTAGCAGCAGTCGCGGCTGGACGCGTTAGAACGCGTAGTAGAGGACGGCGTAGGCGAGCGAGTCCCTGGGCGCTCGTACGTGCGTGCGTAGGAAAGGAAGCTTGGGCGCTGCGTCCCGTGTGATACAAAGCCGGCGGTGATTTGGTTTGTTAGTCCAGGTTGTTATACGTAGGTGGTTAGGAGTCCAGATATGTTTTGGTTTGTCCAGCTATATATATGACATGGATAAAAGGCGTTCGGCGTCGTGGTTTGTTGCCAGAAATACATCTCCGCGTATCCTTTCTTTGTCTACGATCTGTCCCTCAAAACTAGTTCATGCTAGCTAGGGTTAGACCCAACAATTGATATAGAGAGCCTCGTTTGTTCCTCTGGTCGTGGCCATGGCGATCGTCCCGCACGGCGCCGGGGGGAGCACGGTGTCCATGGTGATGCCGATGCTCACACCGGACAACTACACGGTATGGGCGATCAAGGCCGAAGCCATCCTCGACGCCCAGAACCTCTGGGAAGCGGTGTCGCCGGCCGGCGACGCGGCGGTCGACGCGGGGAAAAACAAGACGGCGAGGGCGGTGCTGTTCGGTGCGCTCTCCGAAGACTTGTTGATGCAGGTATCGACGAAGAAGACGGCGGCTGAGGTGTGGGCCAGCTTGAAGACGAGGTTCGTCGGTGCCGATCGGGTCCAGGCGGCGCGGCTCTCCACTCTCCGTGGCGAGTTTGACAACCTGCGCATGGAGGAGGGGGAGGCGCTGGACGCGTACGCCGGCAAAATCGGCGGCATGGCAGCAAGGTATGCTGGCCTCGGCTCGACGCTCGGCAATGCCGCCATGGTGAAAAAATTGCTCGACACGGTGCCCGGTCGGTTGTATGCCGCGGTGGCCGGGATCGAACAGTTCTGCGACGTGGAGACGATGGCGTTCGAGGAGGTGTTGAGTAGGCTCAAGGCGTTCGACGAACGCTTACGTCGGCGCACGCAGGACAACGGCGGATGAGGCGGTGATCAGCTGATGTTCACGGCGGCCCAGTGGGAGGCACGACAGCGTCAGCGCGGCGGCAACCTCGACCACGACGATGGTGCGAGCAGCGTGGCTTCGGGCACGAGACGGCGGCGCGGGAAGTGCTACAATTGTGGCGTTCGTGGCCACTTCTCCCGTGACTGCCGGCAGCCGAAGAAGGAGAAGGCGCTCCTTGCCGACATCGACGATGAGCCGACCTTACTGTAGGTCGTGTCTTAGGGGGAGATTGTTAGGAATAAGACACGGCGGTGGTGGTGACCAGTGTGTGCGTGCGTGTTGGTCGTGCCGGACGCCGTGGCGAGTGTGCGTGTGTGCGTGCGTTGGGTGCGTGTCGAGTCTGTGCTTATGTTTGGGTCGTAGTCAGTTAGCAGCAGTCGCGGCTGGACGCGTCAGAACGCGTAGTAGAGGACGGCGTAGGCGAGCGAGTCCCTGGGCGCTTGTATGTGCGTGCGTAGGAAAGGAAGCTTGGGCGCTGCGTCCCGTGTGATACAAAGCCAGCGGTGATTTGGTTTGTTAGTCCAGGTTGTTATACGTAGGTGGTTAGGAGTCCAGATATGTTTTGGTTTGTCCAGCTATATATATGACAGGGATAAGAGGCGTTCGGCGCCGTAGTTTGTTGCCAGAAATACATCTCCGCGTATCCTTTTTTTGTCTACGATCTGTCCCTCAAAACTAGTTCGTGCTAACTAGGGTTAGACCCAACATGCAAGAGACAGCCTAACTTGCACTGATTATCAGTGCGGTGGGTGATCCATCATTGTTTCCCTATCATTTTCCGAAAAACAATCATTGTAGTTCTTCATGTAATCAGTTCTTACCTAATTTCTAATGTTAAGAAGCTGCAGCCTTCCAGGGTTCAGTGGCTTGAGCTGGAACTGAAACAACAAAATTACTCCTTATTATAACTACCTTTCACACATCAACAGCCACATGCTAACATATTTGAAAAGAAGGATAGTCACATTCACTCAGCAGAGACTATCGTGTAGCTTGCACCCAATAGAAAGTGCACACTAAATTGAAGAGATGATCAATTCTTTAGTAGTGTGGTGGAGCTGGAATCGACTGGAGAGATGGAAGCCGGATCTTGATTGCCACTTGATCTTTGAGAGGTAACATTGAGCTGTAAGCAGCACGCAAGATCCAGTTGTGAGCAGCACGCAAGACCCTTGGATCAGATGACCAGATCTAGGGAGCGGGAAATTTCTATACCCGGCGGGTGTGGCTAGGTCTCAGTCAGATGATAGTATAGTATAAGGAGAAAAAGAAAAAAAAACTGAAAAGAAATTTTTTGTACGAATCTCCATGCAAGATCAAAGGAATGTAGCATTGACTGAGACATAACGAAGTCTCGGTCAACTGAGGCTTAGCAAAATTGAACACACAATTCAAAGCTTGTTACTCTAAAAAGGATCTGCGGGTAATTTGTACCCAGAAATCAAAATCTAGGCTTTATACTGAAGAAATCGGAGCCTCTGCAATAATCTAGTATCCGGGCTTAATTTGTGCACAAATCAAAATCTAGGCTTTGGTTTTAAAACTTGTTATTTCACAAATCAAAATCAAAGCTTGAGCTGCTGCTCAAACATGTATGCTAATAAAAACGAGTCCTCTTTATTAGTACTTTGCACTACACCAACAATCCCTTCTTCCCGATACTGCGGAAATGAAAGGTACCAAAAAAGATTGAGCTAGATTTGCACTGTACAAGTCTGAGCTTGCTGCACCACATATTCAGATATGAGAATCCACAAAATTCAGCTAATAAAATTCTGGACCCACTTTCCCAGGCTGGATAACATGTGCGGTGATATTCCCGCTGTTTAAGCGCGCCGGAGCGTACCATCCGTGGGTGATATTCTGGACCAACTTTCCCAGGCGGGGTACCACCCCCAAGGTCCATGCTTCTCGAGATGTCGGTATGTATCCGTTGTACTCGGCAGCATAAGCGCCATCAGTTGATCCTTCGATCGACGCGAAGAGATGGGTGGCGGGTGGGAGCAAAATTTTGGCTCCGCTCGATAACTTTCGATGGTTGTTGAAGGCTGCTGATCCCTCGGCCAAATTTATGAATGCACACGGGAGATTCATCTCGCGCTCCCTTTCGGGCTAATCTGACATCAATGCTAGGGGCGGTTTTCCCCTGATGCGGTCTAACATCAATCTAGGGCGTTTGCGTGGTGCCGGATCAATTGCCTGACTCCCAAAGTTCAGTCGTCGGGTCCGAGTTTATGGTCAGGTCCAACGACAGGTTATCGCCTTCATCTAGAGCCTGATTTTACATTGGCATGAGGACGGGTGCGTTCCGCTGCTCCTCAATCAGGCCTGACACCTAGCTCGAGAAGTCTAGCTCTAGGTCGTCGGATCTAGCGGTCCGACGAGGAGTTTTAGTTCTGATCAGGCCTAAACGGCCAGCCGAATTAGCAAAGATGGTGATGCTGCCGAAAACAAAGGTTTGTCCTAGCACAAAGGTCATGCCAGTGCCGACATGATCGTCAATCTTTATCACCATCAGATCACAGTGACTACATAGGGGGACTTGCATGGGCCACCTATGAAGGCCTCGATTCCGATGGATCTCATTTTGGGGGTCCCGAGCTAGTGCCCTAGATGCAAAGGTAACAACAACACAAGGTTAACACAGGTGCAGGCTCTTCGAAGAAATAAAATCCTACGTCTTGCTTGTGTTGTATTGATTTTTATGGAGTACAAGGTATAGGTTGATCCACCACAAGATCGTTGTCTGTCATCCACGAGCCCTACCCCTCGATTTATATAGGTACTGGGGATGTCTAGGGTTACAATTAGGTCGGCTACGCAGAAGGTAAAACGTGTTGTAAATGACCTCTAAGTCTTGGAGTATGTGCTAAGTCTTCGGGGATGTTTTTTCTGCACGTCGTGGGCCCTCTTGAGATGGCCCGCTAGTGAACCTCCATGGGTTCCTTGACTCGGCCCACCTGGCCGGCTGACAATGTGATGAGTGACCCATAATCCAAGACAACATCACTCTAGCATAGGAACGAGACCCAAGATGACGTCCTGAGGAAACAAATGGCACCTACAGGCACCGTCGTCATTGGAGTCAGTTGATGCGAAGCTTTTGCTCTGAAAGTCGCCTACACCACCAGGGGGAGTCCTGGTCATCACCGCAACGAAGATCAACCCATCCACACCAGAGGGCATTGCCAGAGCAGATCAGAGCCTCCGGCTACTACACCCCTTACCGCCTACATGACCAAGAGATGGAGCCTGCCAGAAAGCCAACCATGAAGCCCACCGTCCGGAACCTCCGCCTTGACATCCATGCCCCTAGGCACCGCCAACCGCTCACAACACGTCCACCCACACATGGTAGGAGGAGTGAAAGACACCTCCTTTCACGCTTAAGCCCGACATCAGCCAACACATCTGGGTTGGCGCGTCAATCATAGGAAGCGCCCACACCTTCACCCCCGGGATACGACCCAGTGTCTACCACATATAAAGTGTGGTCCTTTTTGGACTGAAATGTTGCAATCTCCGTGGTCATCATATTCAGAACCAAGGGATGTTTAGGCCAACATATAAAGTGAGTAAAGATGAGGTTTTAGCCAAGGCCACAATTTAGTAGACGTACATCGGAGCTTACAAACCCCACATGGCAGAAAAACACAAAGAAACACTTATCGGCGCAATAATGCAGTCCGTGAAAAGCAAGAGCAACTTGACAAATATTTGTATATGTATGTCCTAGTGCTAAGGCGTGCTTGCATTGCATCCTAGTGTCCCGCCGACAGCAAAATAAATACCTAAAAGGACCACCAATGGACTGAAATGTTTCATCTAACACACTCACTTGGTCTCGAATATATGGTGCCTTTCTGTACCATGCAGTAAGATAAAAGCAACTTGTTCTGACACTGTTGCCTACAAAATAAAGCACGATGTGGTCGAAAGTGATTATGACGCATCACTTGCTACAAGAGAAGTAAAGTCACCTTGTGGGCAACAGATATGAATGCGAGAGGATGGAGGCGGGTTGGATAAGGAAAGTGGCAGACAGAGAAGACAGCAACGCTGGGCCTAGGAATCAATTTGCCTGAATATGCTTATATCGTGGAGCAAGTTTTGGACGCTAAATAACATAATGGGCTGAGGGAGTATAAACTTACAGTTTATAAGAACATCTCTTCATTACAAAAAAATCATGCATGGATCGAAAATGCCTTTTGGAGCTCGGCCTCCATGGAGGCCGGTTTTTTAAAAACACAAAATTCATGAAAATTCATATTTTTACAATTCAAAAAAAATCTGGAACAAAATACAGATATACATGGGGGCATAACACGCATGTGTGTAACTTTTTAGGACGAAATACATTGAAATGAAAGCTGTGCAAAAAAGACAAATCTGAGGCTTTTTAACACATGATACTATTCATCCTCAAAGTCCAGAAATTTGTCTTTTTTGTATAGGTTGCATTTCAAAGTATTTCATCTTGAATTTTTACACACACGCACATACATTTCATCCTCGTATAGTTGCATAATTTTTTTTCAGAATTTTTTGAAGTCAAAAAGTTAGAATTTTGAATTTTTAAAAAAATAAAGGGCTTCATGGAGCTCGGTCACCAAAACGCCCTACTCTGCATGGATGGACCTCTTCATTACAAAAACAACATCTCCTCTTTTTTAGTCCACTATCTTTTAAGGTATATTATTGTTTATACTTATTATTGTTTGCTCTTTTCTACCTGAGGCACTTGACTTTTAGTGAAATTTTTTAAGTCATGTTTCAAATACTTTTTGTAATAAACACAATATAACAAAATATATAATGTTTACTATAATTTTTTCAAACAAGATAATTGGTCAAGCGTAACTAAATAGTCAACTGCCTCAAATAGAAATTCAAGTGTTTACCATAACATAGGAGGGAGTATTAGTAGTAAACAAAGTGCACTGCTCATGATATTTTTCGGCATCCTTTTCCTCTGCAATTACCATCATGCCATGCATGATTGCAAAAAGAGGCTAGCAGTCGACCGAATGGTCGTCGATGTCATTAGTACACAGGCATCATCATTGCTGCCACCGAAAGCGATGTTGCACCCTCAGTGACTTTTCTCGAATATGATAACTACGAGTCGTCCCTCACTGATCACTTTTGTTGTGCGATTACACGTGGTACGTCTTTTTTTAGGGAAAAACCATTTGCTAAATGAAGTGCAAGTATCAATCTCCTGTACATAAGTGTCAACAACTAAAAAAAAAATGAAAGGTCGCAACCGGCAAAAATGGGATATATGCATACGTACATAGCCTACATTTGATCGTCAATCAAATCAGTTGTACGTATCACGTGCCATCATCTACCACTAGTTGCACATAGATACCACAAGCTTCCACGTTTCGGCACGGTGTAGAAAGGACCAAGTACTAATCCATCTTGTAGCGCGAAAGATAACCTGTAAATAAAATTGAACATTTGCTCTGGTAAAAATACAATCATTGTGGCAGTTCCATAAACCTCAATGCAAGGCACAAACTTTCACATGGATCGGCGTCTTAGTTTCCACCCAACCAGTTGCCAAACATATTTTGTATACTAGTAGACGAAGGTAAGTTAAATGTCACATGGATTGTACTATGACACAGTAGTTGTATGCCATGTTTTATTACACGTAGTCTGCCTCCTATATAAAGTGCTACATTCCGGAGGGAACTCGGCTCACCAAGTGATCACCAAGCATGGAGCTCCTCTTGTTTTGCACAACAGTTTTCATCCTCATCATCTCCTCTCTATACCTCTTAGGCCTCTTGGCCGGCCGTCGTCGCAAGCTGCCCCCGGGTCCTTGCCCGCTGCCACTCGTCGGCAACCTCCTCTCCCTGGGCGCACTACCACACCGCACCCTCGCGCGCCTCGCAGAGCGCCACGGCCCGATCATGGCGATCCGCCTAGGCACGGTAACCACCATCGTCGCCTCCTCCCCAGATGCCGCCCGTGACATCCTCCAGCGCCATGACGCAGCTTTCTCGGGGCGCTCCATCCCAGACGGCACCCACGTGTTTGCGCACAACACACACTCCATGGGCTGGCTTCCGGCCAGCAGCCTTCGGTGGCGTGCCCTACGCAAGGTGTGCTCAGGTGAGCTCTTCGCGCCGCACCGTCTCGACATGCACCAGTCTCTGCGCCAGGAGAAGGTGCAGCAACTCGTCTCCCACGTGACGCAGCTGGCACGAGAGGGCACACCCGTTCGCGTCGGCCGCCTCGGCTTTACAACTGCACTTAACCTGCTCTCCTCCACCATCTTCTCAACCGAGCTAGCCGTCCTCGACGACCGCCATGTCAAGCCTTCGGACTTCAAGGACATGCTCGCAGAGCTAAACATGACCGTCGGATTGCCAAACCTATCGGACTTCATCCCTGAAGTGGCGTGGCTAGACCTGCAGGGCCTGAGGAGACGCATCGAGGGCTTGTTCACGCGGCTGCATGCCATGATCGCCGAGCGGATCGAGCGTCAGATTCGGGACCACGCGGCCGCCGCAGGTGAGGCGCCCAAGAAAAACTTCCTGGACGTGCTGCTTGAGTATCGCAACACCGACGATGACCGGGGCTTCGAGCGCCAGACGCTCCTCTCATTGATTTCGGTATATATCTTCCAAGTATTACCGAGTCTCTTTTTCTAAATTGCAAACGTGCATCCATACCGAAATGTAGCGACAAATATATAGCTCACGTACGTACGGTACATGCATGTGATCAGGACTTGTTCAGCGCCGGGACGGATACAAGTTCAGCCACCGTAGAATGGGCGATGGCAGAGCTGCTACTGAATCCATCATGCATTTCGAGAGCCCGCGAAGAGCTCGACCAAGTGATAGGCTCTAAAGAGCACGTTGAGGAGTCCGACATCGGACAGCTCAAGTACCTCCAAGCCATCGTGAAGGAGACGTTCCGTCTACATCCTCCGGCGCCGTTCCTGCTGCCGCACGTGGCGGAGAGGACGACACAGGTCCGGGGATACACGGTTCCCCAGGGCGCGCGCATTCTGGTGAACGTGTGGGCCATTGGACATGACGGCAAGGTATGGTCCGAACCGGAAAAGTTCATGCCGGAGAGGTTCCTGGAGAAGGAGGTGGACTTCAAGGGCCGAGACTTCGAGCTCCTGCCCTTTGGGTCCGGGAGGAGGATGTGTCCGGGGTGGATGCTGGCCGCTCGCATGGTTCATCTCATGCTCGCGTCCTTGCTGCATCGCTTTGAGTGGAGGCTTCCCGTACATGTGGAGAAGAAGGGGCTGGACAGGGGTGAAAGGCTTGGGGTGAACTTGTCCATGGCTACGCCCCTTGAGGCTATAGCCACGCCAGTTTGATATGATCGTCATCGTACTTAATTTGCAGCTGGCGTTGTCGCATGGGAACATCATCAAGATGCGTAAATAAGGAGCAACCAGAAGAGTTTGCCTTATACTACTGCTATACTAGTGAAAAGGTAGTAGCTAGGGTATATGAGCTTGTGTTACGAACGTACTCCCTCCGTTTTATATTAGTTGTCACTGATTTAGTTGCGACCTAGAGTATAAAGTTGTATTAAATCAGCGACAACTAAAAAGGAACGGAGGGAGTTTGCTTTATACTATTGCTATACTAGTGAAAAGGTAGTGGATAGGATATATGTGCTTGTATTGTAAACGTACTCCCTTCGTTTTATATTAGTTGTCGCTGATTTAGTAGCGACTTACTATAAAGTTGTAGTAAATCAGCGAGAACTAATATGAAACTGAGGGAGCAGTATTGCATTACAGATGGTCAAAACAGTTTGCGTCGGCATTCCCAAATCGCTATACGCTAATATGTCTTTTAGCCTTCCCTCCCAACCCTAGCCGCCCCTCCTCCTCACCCTCCCCCCCTCTTTCCTTCCTCGCTGCCGCCTGAGGCAACCGCCAGGCAAGGCCGGGGCGCCAAGGATGGTGGCGGCGGGGCCTCGGTTGCCCAGCATCTGCGTGGGGAACCTTGGATCTGGAGCGGCGGCTCCATTGGAAAGGCACGGTCTGCACCGCTTCTGAAGATCGGTATCCCGGCCGCGCAGGCGGCGGGATCCGGTGGTCGTTGGCGGCCGGCGACGGCTTCTGCGGCGGTCGGTGCGCGTGATCTGGCTCAATTGGAAAGGCACGGTCGTCGCCGCTTCTGAAGATGGACCAGTGGAAGATGGCGGCGACGACACATGTGAATGTGTCGGACCGGTTTGAGCCCGGACCCGGCAGATGGCTTGGTCGGGGCCTCCGGCTTTAGATGTTAGGCTTAGGTGAGAGGTCTGGGTATGTGGCCCAGCTTGCACCCCTTCATCATTTGGATAGGAGTAGCGGCAGATGTTGTCAAGATGGCGGATTCAGGCATATTGTTGTTCTACTTTGTAAGGTCTTTGGAAATAATCAATAAAATGGCCGCATGCATCTCCCGGATGCAGAGGCCGGGGGTTATCCTCCTTTTCCAAAAAATGCCTTTTAGCCTCCGCCGCTGTCACCTCTATGCCAGAGAGAACATGTCCTATATACTTAAAAAAATTCATCATCACTATCTATACCTACTATTAAAGGGAGGATGATATTCTTGGTTTCGTCCCGCTTCGTTTGGTCCCGCTTCAATTAACTTCACGTACGCTATTTGGTTTCGTTACTTGCCACCTGTTTTGGCCCAACAGAGAAAGCCCACCTGGCGGCGCATTGATGATTTCTTTTTCTTCCGTTGCAACACACGGGACTTTTTGCTAGTCTTATTTATGTAAACATGCAACCTACCCACTTCATTAAGTTTGCCACATAGCAATTTCTTTATTATTCTCACAGAGATGAATCGTGTGAGTACACAATAGATTCCTCTACTGTCTTGTGAAACCGATAAGGTAATCCACTTCCAAGAACTAAGACGTCTTCCCATTATGTCAGCTAGTTAAGTTATCTAAATTTCAGCACCTTCAGCGGCATCTTCTACTATCTTGTTAGTTATTTTTTTTCTAAACGTTCCATCATGCATAGATCTTCTAGCGTAGCATTAAGGCCTTCCTACCAGGTCGCTGAAGGTGCTGAAATTTGGCCTCCATGATCTTGCAAATTCTCCTTTCCCAACATGCTTGCAGTAATGAATATTCTCCAAAATTTTCATGATATCTAGACCGAGGAATTGAAATTTATGGCGTTTACAGTGTTCAAAGATGACGCTGAAAGTCAATGGCCTCTAATATTTATGGACAGAGGGGGTATATAATTTTGATGGAAATTATTTATAATATGATTATTTAAATACATATTTTAATAAGAAATAAAATTTGTTGTTTTGAGATAGATATGTATCTGAACTATTAGTTTTTATGAAATTTGTATCTCTTCACAAAGCTTCAGCTTTGGGCCACACAGCCCAAAGCCTGCAGAACATTTTATGGAGCTTTGATTACCCTAAAAAATCTTTGGGGCCTGGTTC